ATCTGGTATGTCCTAGGCGTAAACGCGCAACCGCAATTTGTTCTCGTCTATTGAGCGACGATGGAAACCACTGAGACACATTATTTTTGATTTTATTTAGATTGGAATTAGTTTGAGACCACTCATTTTGCCACAAACACCACACTTTATTTTTAAAATAAGCTTCTAAGTCACTAAAAACACACTTGTCTATCGGCTTTGACAAATCACTTAAAATTGCCTCTCGTGCAGTCCTGTCAGCTTCTTCATTTCTTGTTATTCCGACGTTTGAGGGAACCCATAAAAATTGGACGCTTCTTCCATGTTCATAAGAAATAATAATATCTGGAGAATATTTAGATAAAAGAAGCTGTAGCATAGGGAGACGATGAAAAAATCCATCAATGTTCCATTGAAGTATCGAGTTGAATGTTGTTAACAGATTCGGAGTTAGATGATACTGAACAATTGTCTACAGAAGAGTCACTATCTAAGTCAGAAATCTCTTTCTCTAAATGGTTATATAGTTTCTTTTGAAGTTTTGTAAACTTGCTTTTTGTAGATCTATCATTTGCATATTGATAGCTGCTTTGTAAAAGATGGAGTAAACCATCGATATCAGTTGTAAATTCTTTGACGACGCTAATAGTGTCGGAGGAGCCTTGGACATTATCAATCAGTAAGGACAATTGGTGGTAATTTAAAACGAATGGTGGAGTATGATTATCAATGAAATTTTCAAGAGTTTCCCGTGTAGATGGGACTTTATATGAGCGCGGTTTTTTTGGTTTAGAGGGTTTGGGTTTTGCAAACAGATTTTCTGATGAAATTACTGAGTCTGAAGGAGGCGTGACGATCTCACCAATACTGCGTTTTATGGAAGAACTTGTGTTTTCGGAATTGTTATTAGAGTTTTCACTTAGATGCTGTGGCTTTATTACATTTGGAAGTACTGGAGCAAACTCCTTGGTAGTGACAGAACTCGAGCTTGAAGTTTTATTTGTAAGATTGGTTGAAATGGTTGTTTCAGAAAATTGTCTTGATGTATCAGTTTTATTAGAATTTTCTGCAGTTGTATCTAATGAAAAAGGAGCTGATAGATTGGAGGATATTGCTTTCGAAGTTTGTGAAAACGGTATTGCTACTGAATGAGGTTGATTGAAAGTGTTGTTATGAGTAGGAGCGTTAGTAATTTCTTTGTCATGGAGATTTGTAGGTGTAGGTGATATGCTTGGATTTGATAATGGATAACTTGATGACTGCTGGGTGTTTGGTACCTTGTGTAGTATACTTGTTGAAGCTGTTTGATTTGGTACTTCATTGTTTGACTCAATATGAGTTGATTCCGTTACTGAACTGCATTGGGATGATATGTGTCCTGTATTTTTGCAAATAAAGCAGGTAAGTGTACCTTGTGACAAAAATATGCGGTAAGGTGTTTGATCGAAATTTATTAGAATAGAATCTGGAATTGGTGATGTTATAGGGCTTATATAAACTTGCCTCCGAAAGCTCAATATGTGACTATATTCGGGGAGAGTCGAGCTAATTTTCAGAAATGATATTGGGGAAATAAGCTTTAAACCGATATTCTGTAATTCTTCAACTAATACTTGATGAGGAATTGACGGGCAGACTCCAGACAAGACTAGTCTTTCTGCTGGAGAGACAAGTCTTCGTGCTGTTACAACTTCGCCGAGTACTTCTATAGAGCCATGTTGTGTCATGAAGTTATCTACTACGGTTTTGTTTGCCAAATACATGCAGATTCTATTATGAGATAATCTAGATGAAAAAATAATATTTTTTGGGTTGATGATTGTGCCCAAAGGAATGAGATAATCCTGCAGTTTAGCATTATCGATGCAACTAAATACAATTGCTTGGGTCTTACTCGGAAAAGAGTGTGAAGCGGCTGATGCATAACTGTTTGTGATATTCGAACGTTGATTTACTGGACTGGTTAGATCGGAAGGTGTGTTTACATTCTGTGAAGTCATTTTAAGCTATTGCGGCGAAGGCCTTACTCCGACTCTGGTAAGTGAAAAACTAACCGCATGCTACTATAAGGTACTTATAACAGCTAACCTCACAAATGATTGTACGGTAGTATATATTTATTATTGACGTTTTCTTTTCACACTAATAAAATAATAATTACGTATAGATAACTTACGTAGTAGTATCTAGTAGATAAACACTTTAATTTTAAAAAACTATTTAATTAAAACCACTTGTTTTTATTAAAAACCAAGTTGAAAATTGTCTAGGTGAATATCCTTGTCTTTATTAATGACCATTTTTTTATCCGTCTCAGTATTTTGCAGGATTTGTTCTTTAACATTCATTAATCCGTTGTTGATTTCATCTGCCAGGCGTTTCCTTATGAGTGGGTTCCTTAATTTACTTTTATCGATTTTTGCATTTGTATTGTTCTTCGTTTTATTATTTTCATTTTGAGCCTAATTTTGGTCACTACTGGGTTGTGATCGTGGATTGTTCGTAGACAGGGCAAATTAATAATAATCTACCTCACGATAAAATTTCCAAAATATGAAAAGACCGAACAATAACAAAAAATACTAAGCTCTAAGTTAGTCAATGTCCTTATATTTTCCATTGCTAGATCTTCTTCTTCTGGTTCCTCTATCCGTTTCGGATGTTGGAAATCATATTGGCAATCATAACCTTGCTCGCTGCGGCTCGAAACAGCTCCGTTGAGTTTTCTTAAACCATGTCTTAAATTCCGCAGCCATGATATTCTCCTTTTACCGGTCCTCGCTTACCTTTGACTTTACCTTGCAGTATAGACTGTAGCAGGGAGTAACGGTGCTGATTTCTCATAACGTGTCCCAGATATTGCAATTTTATGCGTTTGATCGTAAACACAATCTCTGGTTCCTTCTTCATTTTTCCTAGAACTTCCTTGTTCGTGATCCTTGATTGCTACATACGAAGCTTGAAACATGCGACTCTCAAAAAAATCGATGAAGTAAGATTGAGACCACAGACCACTAATAACTAGACGTTTCACGTAGGTAGCTCAAGGTCAAATTAAACTTAATGTCATTTGTAGTACCGATACTAATCTTCAGATGTCGCTTTACTCTGTCTCTACTTTTACTCTGCAGTTTAGGTTTAGAACACAACTAAGAAAAGAATTATAATTGTCAATCGCCAATTGTCATATTAGCGTCTATATTTTGATTTTGTTAGTTTCACTTAGTTTGTAAATTACAAATTACCTACCTCAGTGATCTATGTTTTAAATGTTCCTGGCGGTGTTCAAATAGTATTTTGCAGATTAATAATAATCAGTTAAATATGGTTTTTCACAATAAATGTTGTATCCTACAATGTACTAATTCGTCATTGATTAGACATACCTTTCCAAATCCTGATGAAGAGATTACACGATTTAGGAAGTGGCTTAGTGTTATAAATAATCCTAATTTAGATATGATGAATGCTAGTACAGTTTATAAAACAAAACGAATCTGCCACAGACACTTTGAAGATAAGTTTGTTTCTTCATGGAGTCATAAATTGTATAAAAATGCAATTCCTAGCTTACATTTGTATGGTGAGTCCAATAAATATTTGATATTAGAGAACAAATAACTGATTGATGAACTTAAATCTGCAACTTCTTTCCTTGAGTTCCGCAAAAGAACAAAATCCTATCTATCTGAAAGATCATATTATTCAGTAGAAGAGTTTCTTAACGAATAGTGTTATGTACAAGTAACTAAACAATTTGTATAAATATATATTTGAGTATCACATGCAGAAAACTTGTATTAAAATGTATTAGTTCGTAAGGATTTATTATGCAATTTATTTAAATTTTGCAATACATTGTGTATTTTATTATTTTTTATTTTGTGATATTGACGATTTATGTAATTTCAGTAAATTTTAAATTGCTATTTTTCTGACTTTTTTGTAAGCTTTTTCCATAAAATTGTACAATTTTCAGTGATAATAGCATATTTTTATTCTATATTAAATTACAAAGTTGTTTTACAAGTATTAAATAAATAAATAAATTACATTTTGTTTTATTTTTCCTAAATTGTATTGTGTATATTTGAAATTAAAAATGTCATGCATTTTTTTTTCAAATATACCAAATTATATTTAAAATTTTAAACTTTATTTAAATTTTCCCACCAAAATTAAAATTTGAATTTCCCGCGTAATTTCTCGCTTGAATTAGTTCCGATACTAATCTTATGGAGCGCTGAATTTCATATCCAACTAAAGTATTGTCGTGGAACATCTAGGGAGGTAGGTGATCTGTGATTGAGACTTCCAAATGTGGATCTCAAAACACAGAACCAATCTGTCAATTCAGGGAGAGCTTCATATAAAAGACAGGTTAAGAAAAGTATTCCGAGCTAAATGATTTCGGCGACATGGTGAAGAACAATGGGGCTATGGAAATATTGGTATTATTACTAGAAGGAAATATAAAAGTCCAAAGATCAAGAGGAGAATGCCTACTACAAGAATATAATAATATGCATCAAATGTTGAACCAAATACCCAATTCAATTTACCGAATCTTACTTTTATCTTTTACTAAGATACAAATGATTAACGTAAAGTCCCGTAATACATATTAAATGATTTTCTAGTAAAATATTATGAAATATTAGCTCTATTCATCGTTTAAATTTATAGAAGAAAAATTAAAACTTCTATACCTGCCTCCTGCCTACATAATATTTATATTACATTAATTTAACACAACACCTTTAAGTTCGGCAACCAGAACTTCATAATCATTATTTATAATCGATCATGTAGGTATATCGAAATTTGCGGAACTAATCGAAAACATTTTTATTTTTAAATTAAAATTGAATGAAAATTTATGGCTATTTATCGTTTTTAAAATAACAAATATTAGTTTTAATATTACTGTAAACATTTTAATGTACATTACAATTATTGTCAAAGTAAATTCTTAGTTTACTCCTAAAAATTAATCGAAATAATTCTATCAAATGTAGGCAACACATCAAACCATACTTTGTTTGAACGTATCTAACCTCAAAATATGGTTTGTTGACATGTTGTACAAGATGATTTAAATCTTTCGTAAAAATGTTCAAAAACACTTTTCAAAGTGGGTTCCTCTCCATTCTATACAGCATAGGAAGCAAACCGCTCCAGATCTGGGACAAGAAATATAAAAATGGTCACATTAAACGAATCACGGACGAAGATATACAGTCTTTGGTACTAGAATTAATAGGATGCAATGTTAGTACCACGTACATTACGTGCCCTGCAGATCCTAAGAAGACTTTAGGTATAAAGTTGCCTTATCTAGTAATGATAGTGAAAAATTTGAAAAAGTATTTTACTTTTGAAGTCCAGGTAAGTAGAGTTTATTGATTAAACTAAATATATTGATCAAACAAATTAAGTACGATAATCCAATAATAATTGAGTGCAAACACGCAAACGATGTTTAACACTGTGAAATACTAGATATGGTTGTTAAACTTCTTTTCGTATAAGTGATTTATGTGCATTGTTAAACAAACGCTCTTGGTTGTATTTTAAGACCTGTGATCTACATAATTCTTTTTTTAGATATTAGATGATAAAAATGTAAGGAGAAGGTTCAGAGCCAGTAACTACCAATCAACTACAAGGGTAAAACCTTTCATATGCACTATGCCTATGAGGCTAGATGAAGGATGGAATCAAATCCAGTTTAATGTGGCTGACTTCACAAGACGAGCTTACGGAACAAACTATGTGGAGACTCTCAGAGTACAAGTTCATGCAAACTGTAGGATAAGACGGGTATACTTTTCTGATAGACTGTATTCAGAAGATGAGTTGCCTGCTGAGTTCAAGCTGTTTTTACCTATACAGAATAAACCTAAAGCACCTCAAACTATTAGAGCTTAAATCGTCTCCTGGAAATTAAGAAGTTTTTCTTAATGATCTCATGTTTCAATGATCCAAACAAAATATATTTGTGTTTTTTTCGGTTATTTTTATTTTTTAAGTGGGGATGTGATGTAAATTTTGTTTTCTATCCTTGTGATGATAGGATTAAAAATAAACATATACAAGTTCATATTTATAATAAAGGAGATGTCATTGTATGAATGCAACATTTTGCCATTTTTTTTAATTATATGGGATTTTGTTTTACTTTTACTCATAATTTAATTTAATTGTGATCATTAAGAGCATAGGCGCAAAAGTTCGGGGCAAATGCTGTTTAAATGCATTCTTTTTTTTTTTTCGAATCCTGAGAAAGCTAACAAATATTTTAAAAAAACTTAAACGCAGAATGAAAGATTACATTATTACCGATGGCCGAAAGTCCCTTAGAATAAACAGAATGTTTTTTTTTTTTAATAAGATATTTGAAATTAAAAATCACATTAAATTTTCTCTTTTTTTTTTCACCCCTGTAACTTATTAAAATAAACATTATAGAAGTTTTCAGGGACTTTCGGCCCTCAGTAATAATGTATTCTGTGTTTCAATTTTTTAAAAATATTTATTAGTTTTCGAAAAAAAAAAAAAAATTGCATTGGCCGGAATTTTGCATCTACTCTCTTAACTCATTGCAGTTTTTATTACACCTGATAGCAGCAGATTTAGTATGTTGTATTGACTATTATTATGTCTGATGTAAATATTTGTTTAATTATTGTTTTTCTCTTAAATACCATTATTTTCTCATATTGTTGAGTGATTTTGTTTTCTATCCTTGTAATGATAGGATTAAAAATAAACATACAAGTTTATATTCATAATAAAGAAGATGTCATCGTATGAATGCTACATTCTGCCATTATTTTTTAATTATATGGGATTTTCTTTTACTTTTACTCATAATTTAACTTAATTGTGATCCTTAAGAGGGTAGGCGCAAAATTTCGGCGCAATGATGATTAAACGCATTCATTTTTTTCGAATCATGAGAAAACTGATAGTATTTTAAAAAAAATTAAACGCAGAATGAAAGATTACATTATTACCGATGGTCCAAAGTCCCTTACAATAAACAGAAAGTTTTTTTGAATCAGATATTTAAAATTAAAAATCACATTAAATTTCCTCTTTTTTTCACCCCTGTAACTTATTAAAATAAACATTATAGAAGTTTTCAGGGACTTTCGGGCCTCAGTAATAATGTATTCTGTGTTTCAATTTTTTAAAAATATATATTAGTTTTCTCAGGATTCGAAAAAAATGAATGCATTTAAAAAGCATTGGCCTGAAATTTTGCGCCTACGCTCTTAACTCATTGCAGTTTTTATTGCACCTGATAGCAGGAGATTTAGAATTTTTTATTGACTATTATTATGTCTGATGTAAATATTTTTTTTAATTATTGTTTTTCTCTTAAACACCATTATTTTCTCATATTGTTGAGTGATTTTTGTTGCTTTAACAAAACTTGAGATCATATATAGGGGACTAAACACTTATTTACATAAAATAATATCAAAAGCATTGATATACACGTGAATTTTGTATTTTGCACAGGTCAATTGATTTTTGTGGTATGATTCTTTGCTGTTACATTTATTATAATCAGCATTTTATGGTAATTCAATAAATTATTTATAAAACAGCTTTTAATTTATTAGTTATTTGAAAACTCTACATCATGATAAGGAAGATAACTTTGGGAAGAATATGTCCATGAGTAAAACACTGTAACTAAATTTTTTAGAGTCTACAAAAATAAAAAGAAATATATATTGTGAATAACTTCAATACAAACATTGGAGAAGGTTGATGAGATCAATTAGAAGGTACTTATGAACTTGTAAAGCTTGTTAAACAAGAATAAAAGATATTCTAATTATAGCAATAATAATAATAAAAGCTTTATTGTCCAACAGGTATAAATGTATAAGACAATTTAACATTAAACCAAATTTAAAATCCATTTACATTAGTTAAAGAAAAGTTTTAACAGTTATCAAATATCTAAATGAATCTTACCCATTTGGATGAGCTGATTTAGACTACAGTTGAATATATCACAACAGTTTACCAAACAATTATAATTTTCACATATAATACATATATCATCATCATTCTGTTTGCCTTTATTCCTAGTATAAGTTTCTATCTTGGGTCATATCAATACATCATATTAATACCCTTTACCGACCTGCTGTTTGCATAATCATTGCAGGTCTTTTTTGATCTTCCTCTCCTACTACTTTCAGGAACCCACACCTCAGCAATTTTTCTCAACATTAAACATGACCAAACTATCTTAACCTACGCTCTCTCATCTTGGTAACAACTAGTACCACCCATAAACTTCCCCTAATGTACTCATTCCTAATTTTATCCTTTTTTGTCACTTCATCCATCTAAGCATTCTCATTTCCGCCACATGCATTCATTGTTCCTCTTTCTTTATAACTACCCAACATTCAGTTCATTGCATCATAGCTGGTCTTATGGTTGTTTTCTAAAATTTTCCCTTCAGCTTCATTGAAATTTTTGTGTCACAACACACCATTTAAAACTGTTACTTTTCAGCATCCAAAAATATATCCTATTTGTACTAATTCCGTCTTTAAATGAACATTCCAAATACTCTGTTTTTGTCGTACTAAGGTTTGACCTTTTTTGACTCCTGTCTTATTGAGTGCCAATCACATAAACTCCCGAGGGCATATGCTTTCTCGATATCAATGAATACCATATTGGCGTTTATTTCTTTACTCCTGTATTTTTTCAACTGCCTTATAATCAAATTTGCGTCTCTTTTTCATCTGCCTTGCCTAAAGCCAAACTGATAATTGGATATTTGGTTTTCTTCACGTATCTGTCTATCAATTACTCTCTCCCATATTTATGGTGTAAGTACTAAGTAGTTTTGGACTACTTAGCACGTACGCCATACTCCATACCGTACTTACTGGTGTAAGTACTGGACTAAGTAGTTTTATGGCCCTGTTATGACTAGTAGTTTTTACAATGTAGTACATCTTCTTTGTACATTGGTTCTTCATTCGTCTGGCATTTGTCCAACTTCCAAAATTCTATTAAATTTACCAGTTAACCAATTTGTCCCTATCTCTCCTAATGCTTTCCACACTTCCCCATGAATATCATCTGGTCCAACGCTTTTCGTTTATTTTTTGGATTGCTTGAGCCACTTCTTCGTTTGTTATTTGGTTTTGATTTTTTCAGTTTATCCTCCCCTTTTTTACATATTTTTTGGGATTTTTAGAGGTACAGTGGAATTTTCACCTCGAAAGAATTTCTTTACAGAATTCCGTACCTACGTAATAGGTTGCCATGCTTTTTAGTTGTCAAAATATTGACGTTTGTTAAAATAAATGTAAATAATAATTTACATTGTAAAAGATCGAAATATAGTACTTTGTGTGGTAAAATGAATGCAAATAGTTCTCTCAGGTCCCCAGGTTAGATGAAGACCCAGGCATGTTTATTATAAAGTACAGATATGAGGTGTTACAAAGAATGAAGAAAGAATGTGAAGTCATAAAAACTGTTAAAATTAGAAAGATTCAATATCTGGGACATTTAATGAGGGGTGAGAAGTACGTATTACTGAGGTTGATTATGCAAGGGAAGAGAAACCCAGGACGACGCAAAATGTCCTGGCTGAGAAATTTGAGAGAGTGGTTCGGCTGCAGCTCATTAGAATTGTTCAGAAATGCGGCCAACAAAGTTAAAATAGCGATGATGATTTCCAACCTCCGCTAGGAGAAGGAACCCGAAGAAGAAGAACAGATATGATTCCAATACAAGCTTTGCGAAATGATTTCAAAATTATATCATAATAACTTCATTTGTGTACATATTTTGAAATGTTTATTTATATCATCATTCAAATATATCAACATTTTAGAATATTATCAACAGAATTATTTTGCAGCATTAAATTTTCTTGTACAATTATTGCTTTATTTTCTTTGATTGAAGAAGAAAACGATTATTCTGGATTGGTGGAAGCGTTGCATGGAAATGCAGGTAGGAATGAAAATATACAGAAGAGACCAAATTTAAGTGAGGATTAGTGGAAAGACGATCTTATTGGAATGCAAAATTTTAACTTTACCAAATCTTCTGGGTTATTAGTAGATGTTTCAGAGAGTGGTCTTCCATATGATTTGTTTTGCCTTCTTGTAGATGATAGTGCAGGAAACAAATGTTTATGCGGAATCGTTATTGAACATTCACGTATAAATCAATGGTGTATCTGTTAACGAACTTATAACATTTTTTGGACTTACATTCCATATGGGAACATGGAAAACCAATAGAATCCAGGACTACTGGAATACCGATCCTCTTTTTCAATTGAAATGTTTCTATAATAATATGAGCCGAGATCGTTACTTGCTTATTTTGAGATGTCTACATTTTGCCAGTAGTCCACAAGAGGGTATAATAGAAGATAAGCTCTAAAATTAAACCACTTTTAAATTACTTCAATAATATAATGGCTGAAATATATCAACCAGGAAAAAATCTATCCATTGATGAAAGTATGGTATTGTAGCGTGGTAGATTATCTTTTCGAATAAATATGAAAAGCAAACGTCACAAATACTGATTTAAATTGTGTTGGCCGGACCCAACGGCTTAGCGCTTTGAATGAAATTATAGAACAGGATGTTATGACTCTTCAGGTGGAAAAAGCCACTCTGAAAAAATAGTTTTACAACTAATGTGAGATAAACTTAACGTTGGGCATTCTCTTTTTATGAATAATTTTTATGGAAGTGTTGATTTAGCAAAAACGCTTTTACAAAACAATACCTTCTGCACAGGAACTTTAATTTCCAAGAGAAAAGGTAACCCTAAAAAAGTTTAGAACCTAAATTAGCACAAGGACAGACAGTAGGGCAATAACGATGGCATTTTAGTAGGAAAGTGGGGAGAAAAAAAAGAAGTTATGTACATGCACGGAATTTTAAAATGATCTTAACGAAACTAAAAACAAAAGAAACCAAATAAAAATAAAAACCCCTACCTATATTGAGTTATATATATATATATATATATATATATATATATATATATATATATATATATATTATAAATATATATATAATGAGTTTATGAGTGGTGTTGATCCCAAAGATCAAATGATCGCTTTAAAAAATAGGTATTCACATATTTCAAGTTTTGTAACAATAAAACACTGAAAACTTTGTTTTCAAAACTTCCA